CACCAACTGGTGTTTTTAAATAGCATGGTAGTTCAATTACTTTTGATTGAAATTTAATTGAACATTTGACTGATGCTTTGCAGATAAATTGAAATTGAAATTCATTTGCTTCATCGTCAACATCATCCAGTGTGTCTTTTTCATCCATACGACATCCTTCTGAATCATCTAAACGGTGGTATGCACTTTCTTCATTAAATAACAGACAACTTATATCACGTAAACGTTCAATTGTCAACATATTGAAACAGTTTAATTTTAATATACCATCATCAGTTTTGTTTCTTATCGTTACTGTTATTGGCATGTTTTTATCAGCGACTGTAAATGTGATTGTAGCTGCTTTCTGATCGTTTGAGCTAAAAGAGAAAAGTAGACTGCTAAGATAACAGAAGCATTTTGCGAGATAATAGGGATATTTTGGAGAGAAAAAGCCTTTGGCAACGAAATCGAAGATATGCAGATGAAATCTTTTTGTTGTAATCAAACAGGAGACCTTTGAGTTTATAGCGTCGAGCGGCTAGAGTTTCAAACCATTCTTGAATTTTGCACGTTTTTATCACGGTCTTTTTTTTTGCCCATTCTGACATGCTGCACTTGTTGATTGACATAGGCTTCTTCTTGTTAGTGGTTTGATATTAGAAAGAGACATGTACTAGGATAGCAATTGTCTAGTCATACTTTATAATTTTTCCTCTTTTGTTCGCGTAAACTATACCTCGGCCTTGTTGTTGTGATCAAGTTTCACAGTTTTAGACGTTTGTGTTCAACTAAAGATTACTTCGCCAGTGGACTTTAAGAACGTGCTTTGCCTGAGTATCTCAGGGTTTCGCTCTCTCGAATTTTCAAGCACTGAGATCAGAGAAAGATAGTCGCAGAAAAGGATCTTCTGGCTCTTATCTTGCTATGGAAAAAGAAAAAAATGTGTCCTGTTCGATGTGATAATTCTTTCCAGAAAATGCATCTGATTCCGTTAGCTCAGATTCGAATCTAGTCTCCGAAGTGGACTTTCGACTCTGTTCAGTTTTCAAAAATCGATTAATCTATGATAAAACCAATATCTATCTACTATTTAAACGTGTTCCTCAAATTCACTGTATGAATGTCAAATCTAAACAACTTTCAAACCTCTCATTTGTCTTCCCTCTAGTCAAGCAGTGTTACTGAGACATCCACAGAGGGTACTACTTGTTTCCCTCAACGAATCATCTTTTTAGCATCGCTGACACCAAAGCTAATACACTTAGCACTTAGGTCGTGAATCATGTTGGCAAAGACTAGAAGCGGCTCATGTTG